TTATTATTCACTATTTGTCTACATTTCTCATAAATAATAATAATAATATTTTATAGTCCATTTGGGTCTTTTTCTATTTTTAAAAAAAATAAAAAATAAAAAAATTTAAGAGTATAACCGTAAATTAACATGTCCACAGCAGAAGTTGATAATCAGAAGCAATAGGTGAACAGCTTCTCAGAATCAGCTTTTTTGACTTAAAATAAGTTGTTAGAATCAGAAGCTGTTTGAAATAAGTTTAACCAAACAATCCAAAATAACTTTTTAAAAGCCACAAGCCATAAGTTGGCTCAAAAAAGCCCCACCAAGTACCTATACCGTGTTGTGGTGGAGCGACAGTCCCTCCCAGCATGTGCCCTATATACACATGCAGTTCAAGAATTAGTTCATTTTCCTTTTTAAACAATATTTGATTCATTTCGCTTCGAATGAATTTACAACCATTTTAAGAGTATCAAATACAGATTTTAATAATATCAGAGGGTCAAACAAGGAAAATGGAGCAAACAAAATTTTTCGGCATGGGCCGCACGTGCGGCAGTCCCCTTTCGCACGTGCGGTAAGGTGGGTCGTACGTGCAATAATCTTTCCCCGTACGTGCAGTAATTTTAGTACCTTAAAGTTGGATTTCCCTTGCTTTCCATACGTCCGGCTGTGAGCCCCGCACGTGCGGTGGTGCTTCCCGCACGAGCGGCCATGACCCCTGCACGTGCAGTCGTAGCCCTTGTTTTGGGCAGTCTGAAATTAGGCACAAAATCATCAAATCCACCATATTACAAGGGAAGAAATGGAAAGAACAACTCAATATAATGGCATAACAACTCCATAAACATGGATTACAAGTCAAAACACCATATAATCATGGATTACAAGCTTATTGAGATCATAATCTAACTCCTCTATTTGGAACATAAACAAGAAATATGTAGACACATGTAACTTCAACATGGAAGATCAAAGAAGAAAATGCAATTCTTTCACATAACTCAATTTAATTCCCCAAACAACCAAATGATATGAACACACATCGAATTAAGTGATTACAAACATACTTCAACCCAACTACAAACCCTAACTTACATATTAACAAGAATTTCTTACTCAAAATCAAGAGAAGGGTTGTACAAGGTGAATTAAACTTACTTTGAGCTTAAATCTCTCAAATTCTTCTCAAATCTCCAATCTTCTTCCTTGCTAAACTTCTCCTCCTCCTCTCCAACTCTCTTCTCCTCTAACCTTCTCTCAGGAGATATTTTATGCCTTAGCATTTTCTAAATCAAGGGTTAAAAGAATAGATATATATCTAAATGTTGAATAAAACAAAATTTAATCAGTTTAATCATTTCAAATCAGATTTTCACAGAAAATCATATTATGCTCTAAAAATAATGCTGATCTTAGGTATAAAGTCAATTTCAGATTATCAAGCTTCTAAGGCTTCCAATTTCTGATTACAACATCATAATTATAACAGATATTTCTCTTATTAGACAGATATGAATCTATAATCATAAGATTCACTTCACATGGAATTTCACAGTAAGCATATAAATGCACAGAGTAGGGGATTGAAAGCATACCAGAAAACATGTACGAGGGTCGAGTTATTACAGTTTGGGTCGTGACAATTCTATTATTCTCTGTGATTATATTGTTGGTTTAACTGTTTTTTTCTCTCATTGAACCTACTTCCTATCATGAGGCTTGTTCTAACCCTTTTTGGTAGCAAGCTATGACTGATGAACTGTAGGCTGTAGATAAAAATCATACCTAGGACGTAGTTGATCTTCATTCTAGCAAGAGTACTGTTACTTGCAAATAGGTGTATAAGATCAAAACTCATTCTGATTATTCCATTGAGCGTTACAAAGCCGGTCTTATTGCCTGGGGATTCACTTAAGATTATGGGATTGACTATGAGGAAATATTTGCTCATGTTGCCCGTCTTACTTTAGTTCGCAGTTGTTGTTGTTCGCCACTGGAGTCTTTGTTAGATGGATGTCAAGAACGCCTTTGTCAATGGTGATCTCATTGAGGAAGTTTATATGCAATCCATCAAAGTTTGCAAACTTCATCGTGCTTTGTATGGTTTGAAACAAGCTCCTCGTGCCTAGTTTGCGAAGTTTGGTTCTATTATAAATGACTTTGGCTTCTCCTTCACTGCCTATCATTCTGCTTTGTTTATACATAAAACAAAGCGTGGTATTATTTTTCTTCTTTTTTATGTGGGGATGGTGCAATGGGTATTTCTAGTCTCAAACAGTTCCTCCATCACCAATTTGAGATGAAAGATTTAGGTTTGCTTAGCTACTTCCTCGGCTTGGAAATTTCTCATGACCCTTTTGGTTACTTTCTCACCAAGGCCAAGTATACCTCTGATCTCTTGACTTGTGCTGGTCTTACTTTCTCACCAAGGCCAAGTATCCTCAGACTTGTCTCACACCTCTTGATCGTCACTTGTTATCTGATGCTACTTTATATCGTCAACTAGTTGGCAGTCTTGTCTATCTCACGGTTACTCGTCCAAACATTGCCTATGTTGTTCACATTGTTAGTCAGTTCATGGTTGCTCCTCGTTCTTCGCACTATGATGCTTTGGTTTACATTTTGCACAATCTCAAAGGAATTATGTTTCATAGTCTTCACTACTCAACACACTCTTCTCTACAGTTACATGCATTTTATGATACAGATTAGAAAGGGGATCTTACTGGCTGCCGTTCTACAACAGGATTCTACTTCTTCTTGGTGACTATCTCATTGCCTAGCGTAGCAAGAAGCAAACTCGTATTGCTCGTTCTAGCACTAAGGCTGAGTATCGTGCTCTTGCTGACACTACTCAAGAGTTTATGTGGCTTTATTGGCTTCTTTCTGATATGGGAGTTCTTCATCCTACTGCCACTAACCTCTATTGTGACAATCAGAGTGCTATTCAGATTGCACATAATGATGTCTGCCGTGTTCACACCAAGCATATTGAGATTGATTGTCACTTTATACGATAACATGTTACTAGTGGCACTGTTCGTCTTATCTTTGTTACCTCTGTCGATCAGACAGTCGACATTTTCACTAAGGCTCATCCTCCAGGGTGATTTTCTGATTTACTTTCCAAGATCAACTTGATATCTGCATTACCACCTAGAGCTTGAGGGGCGCCGGGGGGGAGGGGGTGTTAAATATAATATATATTCTCTGTATAGTTACATACCTTATCTGTATATTGCCATAGTTAGTTTCTTCTCTCCTATATAAAGGCGTTTGTATCTATTCATTAATCATTCAATTCAATACAAGAGTTTCTCTTTCTCTTCTCTCTATGCTCTCATAACAAAACAAACGTGTGCTTAAGGTCCACAGAGCTGGACTAGTTTCCAATTTATGAGAAAGCACAGTTTGTGCTCATCTAAGAGGTTCTCTCCTCTAACTCCGAAAATCCATTTCAGGTATTCATGCGTCCCAGTAGTTTCCCACGATGCTTGCTTATTTGAATTTTGTGTTAAACGAATTGCCTTCCATTTTGTCTATATATATATTTGGAACATATATTTTTATTGCACCATGTAATTGAAACAATTGGTTGTTCTCATTATGGTTATTCAAGAGATATTAAGAGTAACCATTTTTGTCATCACACCTTGGTTATTCATAAGTAGATTATTGGGGTGGATGGTGAAGGTTTAATTAAGATTGGATAAGTGTAGTAGACGGATCCTTTTGAGTGTAATTTTTCAACACATATGATGTAGAACAAGTGGGGATAACCTTTGCCATTCAATAAGGGTTCTTAGGGGCTGAATTTAATAAGTTGATGTGGCTGAAATTTTGGTAAAGTTATGAGGTTTTTAGGTTTTGTATGTGGGTGGCAAAAGGATAGGGTTTTGGAGCTTTAATCAGACATGGAAGAGAATGGTTTATGATTACAGCCTCATCAGGAGCTTGTTGAGGTGCTTTTGAATCATTAACTATAATTTATGCACTCTTAATAATCTAGTTGTTCGCAACAATGGGTTGATTTTTATTGTCTTCAAGTAATCATAACTCATTCTAATTTTAATGTTTTTAGCATTTAAAAACAATGCCAACTGGGCAAAAAATGATTAGATGGTAAGAATTTGTGTGTATATAAGTTAGAATTTTTCCACGAGAAAGTAGCAATAAGGTCTCCACTGAAAATTAAAATGCAGTGTTGTGCAGAAAAAAAGGTAGCTGCAATGTGCATCGATTTTCCTAGATCTATTCCTCATTAGGACACAAATTACTCGGGCTAAACAAGGTAAATTTTGATAAATCCTAATAACAGGGCATCTTTAGAATTGATTAGTCAAATGCATCACATTGCAATGCATATTACAAACTTATGAAGATCTATTTTATTTATTTATTTATTTATTTTTCAAACGGAATCCTATATGGGGCTCATGAGATGTTTGTCATGCTCTTTTCGATGTTGTAGATTATTTTTTTAAGGAGGTTGCTCTTTGATATATTCCTTTTAAGCTCTTTTGGTTGCTTAGAAAATGGGGAAAAAGAAGAAAGGAGAAAGAAAATTTTGATATACTTGTGTGTTTTTCTTTTTGTCTATTCTTTCATACAACGACACAAATCACTTTATCAAGAAGGATGTTCCTTGTGAGACCGACTAGCTGACTCATATCTATACATTCATCCTCCGTTCTAAAGCTACCTACAGCATCCTCATTGACAATGTGGAGAAGCAATCTGGCAGCTTGTATCTGATTGGGACCTTCTACCAGCAAAGACAATCAACTGAGGCCAATAAGGTAATTGCCTCTGCTTGGAAGATTTGTCTCATATTTGACTAATTCAGCGTTTTTATTATTTTTTTTCCTTTTCAAATTTTTGATAATGACCAAACTGCTTATTGATGACAGCTTGAAGATTAGGATGACAAAATTCTTTCCTGATCTTGAAGATAAGAAACCAAAGGTAGTGAACATTTAGTTAATAATTCATTTTTATTTTTTCCTAAATTTATTTGACAACTGAGAATATGGGGTCGACAGTTGGGTTGAACATTTTCTTGTTTTGACAGGCTTATGATGATATCTCAAAGGAGATACCAGATCTTGATGCCATAAAGGTATTCATTTAAAATTCTGTTCAGTATCATATATACTCATGTTTTGAAATTCTTGTTAGAAGTAATGTAGTCACTAATGCTGTATTTGGTTAGGGGATTTGAAAACGAAAAGAAAAAAATATGTGAAATTATGTGAAATGTAGGCATATTTTGAAATTCTTGCTGAAAGTAATGTAGTCACTAAGTAAGATGGTTTCCAATTTCAGCCTGAAGATTGGGATGATGAAGAAGATAGTCAGTGGACACCCCCAACAATGCTTAATCCAGACTACAAGGGTCCATGGAAGGCAAAGATTTGTGGAATTTCTACGTTAAATTTATGTAACTGTTGTCATTGGAAACCACTGATTTATAACTAGTAAGTTCCTTTTTTAAGAAAACTAAGAATCCCAACTAGCAGGGCAAGTGGAAGGCACCTATGATTGACAACCACGGTTGCTTTAAATCTTTACGTTTCATGTTTCATTAACACCGAAAAATTGCTACTATGGTGTCTTGAAAAATTGGTAAAAAATTGATTTTTTGGTTTTTTTGTGACTTTTTAGCTTTTTGTGTGAAAAAAGTAGAGGTGATATGGCCCAAGAAAATCAAAACGCCAAAAAACTGACTTTTTACTATGTTGCCAAAATGCTGCAGAGTTCAAAGGTGACGATGATATCTATGTTTTCCCGAAGTTGAAGTACGTGGGCATTAAATTGTGGTAGGTATTTCTATTTTTTCCCTCATAAATGGTTTATCATTCTTTTGGAATTGTGACTATGAAGCAAGTTGCATGAATTTTGTTTGGTGAAATCTGGAACCCTGTTCGACATTGTCTTGATTTGTGATGATCCGGAGTATGCAATGAAGCTGGCAGAGGAAACATGGTGCAAACAAAAAGATGGACATATATATATATGACAATATATATTTTGTTAATTTTATGTTATTTTTCAAATAAAAAATTATTAAGCGCATGCGATTGATATTTTTGTTGTAACAAATGCACATATAATTTTTATAATAAATAATTATTTGTGACAAATGTCATTGAATACTATTTGTGACCGAAACTAGATGGTTGCTAAAGCATAATAAGCATTTTTTTTTAATTTTTTGCAACGGCAAAACAATAGACGCAAAAAGTAGGTTAGGCGGTCGCAAATAATTTGTGACCACTACTTCGCCGTCGCAAAAAATATTTGCCACCTCCATATTTATGTCTCTCATTTGCCGTTGCATGGGTTGTCCCAAAAAAAATTTGTGATTTTTTTACGACAACTGGTAGCAGTTGCAAAAAATATTTTTTTTAGTAGTGTTTTTTTGTTTTTTTTTGTGTATTTTTATATTTCACAGTGTTTTTTTGTAATGTCTTTGTTAACAGAGAACTTTTGAGACCCATGAGGAGAGGTCCGTGTCATTTGCCAGTACTGATGAGTCTAGTTGTGATTTTGGTAATATTTGGAAAGCTCACCGTAACTGTTTCAAAACTTTGCACACAAAGCTTAGGTGAGACCAGGAGCAACTCCGGGAATGAGGCAAAAGAGTTATATGAGGTAATTTTGTTAGTAAAATTGTTTTAGCTTTGTATTATAAGAGGCATTTTATCTATTTTTATTTTGGCTATCTACAAGTAGCTAGTATGTTAGGCAAAATGTCTTCCCGTCATTCATCCATATTTGCTTCCTGTGTCTATCTTTGCTGCATTTCTGTTTGCTTTATATTTGTTGTTTACTTTTTACTCCAGTCATTTGATCGTTTGAAAATATCACTGTTGAAATATTATAATCATTTAAAAATATAATCGCGTAAAAATATTATTTTAAAAAAAAATTAATAATATATTTTTAAAAAATAAATATTTATAATGTCATGCCAACAATCACGTTAACATTAAATTAATATGTAACATGTCATAAAAAATATTATATTTTTTTTTTTATGTTTATAATATTTTTCTTTAACAGATTAGTTAAGTTAGTTTAATTAGTTATCTAAAATAAAGAATTTGATTAGAGTATACATTAACTAAACTAGTTAAGCAAAATAAAAATCAAAATGGGGATAGTGTATTACCCTTCTGGCCAAGAACTCCAGCAGCTTCTGGACCAAAAAAGTAACTCCTTAGCCTCTAAAAACAAGCTCCAAGAACCTTAGAGTGATGGTGGAGGGGTTAGGCTAGGAGGTTGTATGTAAAGGTGCAAGAACAAGAGACTTTGGAGCTTGAAATAGAGAGATAGAGAGGGGTGTATATATGTGCCTTAACCAAATTTTTTGAACCTTTGCCAATGAGGGAGAGGGTCTCTCTTATAGAGGAACAAAGGTCCAAGCTTCCTCAAGAAGCTTGTGCAAAGGTCCAAACTTCTTTTAGAAGCTTAGTGCAGAGGGCCAAGCTTCTTTAAGAAGCCAAAACAAGGTTGCCATATGGAGGATGCAGTCTGTGCTTTCCAGTTGGCATAACTGGCACTCACTCATAGAGACAGAAAATGGAGAAGCTGGCCGACCAGTTCAGGTGGTCGGCCAACCACTCCTCCTGGTCGGCCGACCAGTTCAAAAGGTTCAAACGTTTCGTCACTTGGAGTACGAAACGTCCCTCGTTTTCTGTGTTTGGACTAAACCCTAGCCCAAACACTATGCAACAAATAGAATGGCAAACAATTATGACAATGAATATTTGTAATTTGCTAAACAACAGAGACAATTATATACCCATAAAATAAATAGTATCATTGGAACACATAAATAAAAAAGTAATTAGGTAAAATAAAGAGATACCTTTTTTTGGATGTTAGCTAGTTAAATTTTAAGAGTATAATTAGAGTTGGTTTAAGAGCATCTCACTAGGCATATAATAATTATTAGTTAAAATGTATAGTATAACTTACATTTTTCAATGCAAATGCACTATGCATATAATTAGACATTTTAATTTCATTCTCACTCACTAGTTTACATGTAGTCTTCAAAGGCTAGGTAAAATGTATTAATCCTTATAATCACTTCATTTCATCTTTATTGCTGGTGTGACATCCTACAAAGTTAATAATATTTAGATGAATAGCTAAAATAAAGAGTATGATTAGAGTAGAAACATAAAAAAATTGATAAACAAATAAAATATATATACTTTACAATAATATTTAGATAGATAAAGTGCCTACGTACATTAGATATACTCTAAGAGAACGACGAATTTTATATTGCCATCTTATTTTTGGTTTATTTATTTATTTTTTATGGGTTTCCATTTTTTTTTTGTTTTTTTTGTTTTCAAATTATCTTTCTATTATACAATTAAGTTCACAGACAACCAAGTATTATGTAGTATGGTCAATTTGGTATTCTTAGTTAATAAGAGATTGCAATACATAATAAGTATTTTATCTTTCGTTTCTCATATTTAATGAGAGTGAATTTTCAATCCATAACATTTTTCTTACTACATAATTGATTTAAAACACTTTGTAATGATATATAGTATTTCAAAATTACTAAATAATTAGCCAGGATGAGGACGGATAATTTGTGTGGGGATGTAAGGATGTGGAGTGGCATTATATGTTTTGAAACAGATAATTGGTATGGTGAAAAATTATTTAGTATTTTTTAAGAAAAATTGGTGAAACATCCCTTTCCAACTTTGTATATTAGGAGAGGTCCAAGAACTTTTTTTTTTTTTTTATATTTTTTATAGCTAAAGTCCCTCAACATTTTCACCGAGAAAATTCAACTTAGAGAAATTTTGGCCCTAACTCAAAGAAATTTCAAAATTTCTCTGAAAAATCAGAAAAATTTCTCTGTGAAAATTAATCTATAAGTAGTGCAAAATTTTTCTGAGTCGAATTTTCTTTGTATGAATGTTAATGAACCTTAACTATTATAAAAATATTGTATGTCATTTATCTTATAAAATCTTAATATCAGGAACCTTAAAAAAATTCCTCAAAATTATATGATACTTTAATTTGATAATTATTAATATAAAAAATAAAATCAACTATATTTGTGTTTGTATTTTAGAAAATAGCATTAAAAATATCAATTGATATATTATAAACAAAAATGTTTAAGAGTACTAAAAGTAGAGCTCTAATGAGAGCTCTACTTATGTGGCAGTAAGCCCCACTCATGAATAATTTAACGACAATGATACATACCACTAAAAGTGGTGTTCTAAATCACCACTAAAAGTGGTGTTCGAATTTTCTAGTGAGTTGGCACACACTTCAAAAAAAAAAAAAAAAAAAAGCACAGCAACACTATGGCAGTGGGTGGGGCCCACTGCCACATCATTAGTGCTACCACTAATTAGTGGTCTCAAGCATTTTCCATGATTTAATGTATGTGTCTTTTTTTTTTTTTTTTTTTTCCCTCTTCTTTTTTTTTCTCCATGTCATATCATTAGAACCATTGTTAGAGCTCCAAATTTAGAGCTATGAATCATTGCTCTATTATAAAATAGATACAAACCCTCAAAATGGTGTGTCATATGCCTTTTTTTTTTGGGTGAATATGTACCATATGTCTCCCGTTACGACTTTTGTAATGTTTGATTATGATTTATTATAATGTTAATTAAGATTTGACTATGACTCATTGTGATATTAGTTATGACATAATCTAGTTATAACATTTGTGATAATTAATACCACAAATATCATAGCATGCAAATGATGTGTCTTATAGCATTATCTTATTTATGCTATATATTATAGTAAAGTGAGTTTTTGTGAGGAGCCTTGTGGGAGCTCTGCAGGCCAACTGAAATTTTGAATTAAAAAATAATTTAAAAAAATGCTATTGGCTAACACATTAATGTAGTAATTATAAAAATATTAATTGTTTCATGATTTACGTTTTTCAAAAGGAGAGCAAAAAGAAAATCTTTCCTGATTTGTGCAAACCTATTACTTACAAAATCTTATCTTTCATTCTTCCTTTTCTTTTTTTTCCAATCTATTCTCTCTCTATACAAAACCCTAACTGTTACACAATCACTTTTTTTTTTCACGCCATATAAAACTTACTTATCGCTCAAAATATTATATCATGCAATAGATCATTACAATACTTTTAAACTCTTTTGTCAAAGATATTAAAGATTAGTTAATATTTATTATTTTCTAATTGACTATGTCCTATTTTTTTTTTCTTCAGAATTTATGGCTAAGTATATATGTGATGGTTCTGAGGTGGAGAGGTATATATGTATATAGGAAGTACATATATAACAAAAACAGAAAATTTGTGAAAAATCCACTCTAGCAACTGTCTCAAGCAATAGGTCCAGTAGATATTTTTTATCAGCGAGAGATCTACATTTTGTGATATAATTTGGTGAGAAGTCCAAACCTATATTATTACTTACAAAATATTTCCTTCTTCCTTCTCAATTTTGTTCAATCTATTCTCTCTGTACACAAAATCCTAACTATTACACAATCACAAATATTTTTTTCACACCATATAAAACCTACTTATCGCTCAAAATATTATTTCATACAATAAATCACCGCAATACTTTTAAACACTTTTCCCAAAGATATCAAAGGTTAGTTAATATTTATTATTTTTTAATTGATTATGTCCCATTTTTTTCTTTAAACTTTATGGCTAAGTATAGTATAGTCAATGATGAAGTGATGTTGTAAGGTGGAGAGCTACATATGTATATATAAAGTACATATGTAACCAAAAGTGAAAATTTGTGAAAACTCTACTCTAGAAATTGTCTAAGACAATAGGTCTAGTAGATATTTTTTATTGGTGAAAGGTTCACATTTTGTAAAATAATTTAGTGAAAAATTCAAAAGGACATTTTGTTTTTAATTTTATCCCGTAATTTATTTGTTAACTTTCTTTGACTATCTATTCAAATTTTATATCTATCTCTTGAAATTTTTTCCCTATCTATTTAACATTTCCCTATCTGTTCAAATTTTTTCTTATCTGCTCAAATTTTTTTTGTCTCTGTTACATTTCCCCCCTTTATTTGCTTAAAATTTTACTATTTGTTGCAATTTTCTTACTATTTGTTCAAATTTTTAACTATCTTTTCAAATTTTTCCCTTTATCTGTTAATCATCAAGCCTTGGTTCATCATCTTCGCAATAAAGGCCATGCATCTAAGTGATAGCTATTGAAACCACATATTCACCCCCAAATCATAATAAAAACAAAATCTATATATAACTATATACATATATAGAGCTAATAACATAAGATCAAACAAAAAGAATAGCAAAAAAACACAAATGTCTATGTAATCATAATGTATACACGCATACACACACACACACACATATATATATATATAGAGAGAGAGAGAAGATTACCATAGTCGCTGGCAAGCACACGGGTGTGACGAATGAATCTCATTGCCACCGTCCATAACCAAAATTATAGTGGTGTTTTGGAAAGTTGGTAAAAAATTGACTTTTTGGCTTTTTTGGTGACTTTTTTGGCAAAAAACTGGGTTCTTTTGGGTAAAAAAGCTAGCTTTTTTTGGCTAAAAAAATTAAAAAGCCAAAAAGCTGACTTTTTTAGCCTCTTTCCA